ACAAAGCCAACATTGTCACCATACAGAATATACAATATACATTAATTAAATACAGTAAACAAACATAAAACTCTGGCGTATAGGCTGATGTACAGTGAGGATATACAATATACAGTGGATGAGACACACAAAAGATACAAAGACCGGCTTGCTGTGCCACCTGTCTTCTTTGTGTCTGCCTGAGTGTGTGCGCTGACTGCGCTCTAACCTGGCCACACTGTTAGCTACTGTACAGTAAAACTACCCTGTTGTACAGACATACCCTTGGGGGACATATCGACCGCCTCTATCCTCATTGACCCCCTCTCTCTCCACTCCAGCCCCCCTTGCCTTCCAACAACCAGCCCCCTCCCACACCCTGACGCCGGCTGGGCTAGAAATGTAATGAGCCCCCCTGGTTCAGCTTTTCCTCCTCATGAAGTGTGTGTGTGTGAGAGAGAGAGAGAGAGAAAAATATGGAGGCTGGCAGGCTAGACGGGCTGCTGCTATGTCCTAGTCTACATCGGATCCATAGGAATCTCCTCAGCTGTTTGATAAGCAGCAAGAGGCTATGGGGCCTCCGTCTCCAACACTCCTGGCTGCCTGCCAAGTGTGTGTGTGTGTGCGTGTCTCTCCTCTGACTGACGAGAAGCACGGCTAGGTCTCACAAAGTTCCCCCTGGTGAAAGATGGGTGTTTTTCTTTGTGTCATACATTTTTCCAGCATGTGTCGTCAGTACATTGCAAGCCTCTGAGAAGCTGTCTGTCACCCTAGCCTTGCTAGCTAAATTATTTGGATCTTACTTTGGAGTTTAGTTTAGTTACTTTGGAGTTTAGTTTATTAGAATCCCAATTAGCTACTGCACATGCAGCAGCTACTCTTCCTGAGGTCCACATAAAACATACAAATTCATGACGAAGTACAGAACAGTTATAGACAAGAACATACGATATTACAGATGCACAAAGATCATGCCCCCAAAACGTGCTAACCTCTCACCATTACCAATAACAGGGAGGTTACCATTTTTGGGGGTATGATATTTATGCATATAACTTTCTCACCTATCATTCCATTATTCACGATTCATTCAGGATTATCCGTAATCCTGGTAGCATCCACATTAATGTAGAAGTTCTCTTATTTACAGTAAAAGTGACTCCAAAATGACACAATATGTTATTTACCATTCATTTCTATTGGGCACAAAATAATCTGAAACACAACCAAAACAAACAGCAAATGTATCCAACAAGTTTGTAGAGTCACAAGCTTGAAGTAGTCATTGCGTGCAAGGAATATGGGACCAAATACTAAACTTTTGACAAAATGTTATACACCAAGTACATTTGTCCAAATACTTGACACCTTCAAATGGGGGGACTAGATACATAGTGCTTTAATTTCTAAACAGTAAAACAGATATGTACATGCCCTCAAATAAAAGGTGACGTTCTGTACTGTCGCCTCATATAAAACATTGAATCTCAAATCCAAAATGCTGGAGTATAGAGACTAATGAAAAGTTTTAGCTTCACTGTCCAAATAAATACATATCCATCCATAATAGTAGTGGAGGGTTGAGTCCCTAAATTATCCTGGACTTAGTGTAATGAATACCATGCACTAAACTGTGATTAGACTGAAATGTATCATGTGTTTATAACTGGAGCCACTTTCTAAGAACGCAGGGAGCTTAGGAGTAAAGAGCAAGAGTCTTTAAGAGATCTTAGCGCCTTAATTGTACGTTAAAGCGTAAACTCTCCTCATAGGTCATTGTTACTCTTGACAAAACCTCTTGTGGAATTGCAGCTCTTGGTTTTATTTTGTATTTTACTTAACCTTCATTTATCCATTCATTCTTCTTGAGATTAAATATATTTTTCTAGAGAGACCTGTTTTGTTTACAGCTGCTACAGTACTTCCTCTTTCATCTCTTGATTTATACAGACTGGTCATGTGATTATACAGACTGGTCATGTGATTATACAGACTGATTCAGCAACACCTCAATATTTATGCTCAATTGAACTCTGTCCAATTATGAGCCTGCATGTAGCCTTATGTCCGGATGGACTGTCGCCTTGGGCAACATGTTCACAGCATTCATTTGGAGCAAATGAGCTCGAGCGATGGCACGGCAGCAGGTCACACTATTCACTGGGTGGTAGGAGGGTGTGAATGAGAGGTTAGGTTGGGTACTGTACAACCAGTCCTTTGATCTGACTGATAGTGAGTCTATTGATCGTGACTCATTAATATCAGTGTGTGTGTAAACTAGAGCTGGGCTATATTGACAAAAATCCATATTGTAATAAATCGCCTGAATTGATGCGATAACAATAAATAGAAAGATAAGTTTATAACATTCATGTGCACCACACATTTTGTCAAATGATCCTTTAAACTACTACTAGTTTGATGGTTGTAGCCATCTTTGTCCCATTAACAATCCCCCATATTAGCAAACGTATTTCATTTCAAACTTCACATGTCTTTTGGTGTTTGTTTTTTTTACCCATTTTTCTCCAAATGGTAGTTAGTCTTGTCGTACGGACTCGGGAGAGGCGACGGTCGAGAGCCGTGCATCCTCCGAAACACAACCCAGCCGAGCCACACTGCTTCTTGACACAATGCCTGCTTAACCCGGAAACACCGTACACCTGGCGACCGTGTCACTGCGCCCGATTCATTCATTCCCATTCTGTATTTTCTGTATTTCATACATTTCATATTCAATCATCTCTCTTGAGGTGGAGAAGCCTCTGTTTGGTATGTTGGGTTGGGTTGTGGATGGAGGGTGGGTGGGTGGGTGTGTGTGGGTGGAAGCTGGGATGAGGGGTCTTACAGCTGTGGCTTCCTGTCTGGTGGCTGAGGAGCGGCAGCTGCAAGCCCATCCTTAGGGAAGCATTGGTTAAGCATGTATTATTACTGCACATGACACTGTACTTCTGTGGGTTAGAACATAGCAACTGTATGGCTTCCCATGTATCTCTGGTTTCTGCCCTTGGCCCTGCTCTCTGGTTTCCGCCCTTGGCCCTGCCCTTGGTTAAGAAGCCTGGGAGAGGCCTGGGGTCAGAGAGTGAGTGTTCTAATAAAAAAAATCTAATCAAATAAAAGTTTATTGGTCACGTACACAGATTTTCAGATGTTGCACTGCAAGTGCAGTAATACCTAGCAATACAAAACAATACATACATTACCCAAAAATGTGAAATTAAGAAATATCAGAACGAGCAATATCAGAATGAGAAATGTCAGAGTCCAGAATATAAATATTAGGGCTGTCCCTGACATCAACAGAAAAATGTGTCGACAGAGTCGTCTGTTCTTTTGACCAATTGATTGGTCGAAAAATGTGTATGTATATTTTTCCATACACCCTATGTTTGAATAAAATCAACTATATGTAGGCTACTGAGCTTGTCTGATGCTTTAAGAATGAAGACACAAATTACTAAAGAGGGAGCCAGAGATAAATACAGCCTAACCAGAAGAAAAACTGTTCCCGAGCCGCCTCCACCCGCTGCCCGCTGCTGCTGGCCTTCGCAGATTCTGCTGATGCCCGTAATAGGCTACACCAGCGGTCGGCAACCTTTTCCATTTGGAGTGCCAAGTTATCCTACCATTTCTACTGATCGGAGTGTCAGTTATGATATTCATATGCACATTTTCGTGGAACCGTTTCATTTAATTTATACTAAAGTCTAAATATCTCAAAATCAATGTCATGTGGTTAATAACAATTCTAAATGAAAATGATACAAATCTAAAAGTAACTTCTATTGCCATTGCCAATATGTAAAAATAGCCTACATAAAGCCAACCATTAAAAACACTGCAGCCTGCAGGTAGAAAATATCCTGATTTTAGAATAAATATCCTATAAATCACATTGGCTACGCATGGCCTGTCTGCAAGGAACTTGAAACATATCAACTATTGTATAAACTTGGTCAGGCCCAAAGCTCATACTAGCAAACTCGCAACATTGTATAAAATATTCTGGGTCCTCAGGGTTTCCCGCACCAGTGAGCACCGGACAGACACACAGCTGTTGGCTGTTTTGCACAAAGGATAAGAAGTAATCAGGCCTATTTTATGACATTTCCACCGGATCTGCGCATTACATTTGTTTCACCTTTCATGCTGAGTGGTAATCGAAAGGGAGAAAGCTGGAAAGGTTTTGAAAATAGGCTACACTGAGGAACTATTGTCATTCTCAATGGATGTAAAAACAGACTTCGTTTACTTGCTGTTTGAGGCGAAGAAAAAAAATATTTGAGAAGCTCCACAATGATGGTGAGCTAAGACAATCAGAAATAGTATCAGATCCCCAAATTGGCACACTTTTAGGCCTACATTTGCGCAAAGGCCAGGTAGACTAGTCTGGAGCGCTCCAAACAAAGACAATGAATAAATGGAATGAAATAAACCCAAAATATTTTCTCACAAGTGTAGCCTAGGTTGTGTGCTCTGCAAACAATGTGTCCACTCCTACAATGACAATGGTAAGACTGTAATAATAATAATATATTGAATACATCAACAGAAATGACCGTAACCAAACAAGCATTGTAGATTAGAAGTTATGGGAATTAATGGTAAATGTACTACTAGTGTGCCAACCCCGCAGCCTACGCAATGGATCAGTCCACTCAGACAGGCGTGAATCAGACACGTCTCGTGCCATATATAAAAAATATTATTATTATTATTTGTATTTATTTTTGCCACTGCTAGACTAAAAAAATCTTGGTCGACCAACAGCCTATTGACCAAACAATCAACTAAATGAGGTCAGCCCTAATAAATATAAAGTATCCAGATATACAATGGTGTTTGGCTGAAGGTAATGTAGCTATTCTAAGCCTATACCATCATGTAGAAAGGAGGTGAAGTCTGAACTGTGCTATATCTTAATGAGCTGTTTAATTAATCCAAACACAGCATCTTTTTTTTGTTGTTGCTGAAAGTGCAAAAACTCATAAGTCTCTCTGTTTGTCTTACAGGCCTAGGCCATGGGGGGAACCAAGAGCAAGCCCAAAACCGCAGGCCTTCGGACACGGAGTCTTGATGGTAACATCAGTTTAGGAGAAGGGGGTGGCGGCTACAACATCAGCCCCGCCCAGCACACACTCATGCCCAATCTGAGTCCAGCAGTGGGCGGGACACGCCGGTCCACTCAGCCGTTGATCAATACCCCAGAGCTGGCCCTGTTTGGGGGCGCGGAGTCCACCAATAGCGTCACATCTCCTAACAGAGGGACACTTGCAGGTAAGACTGTAGGGCCCAGATACCCCACTAATACCTAGAATGGAATATAAATAAATGATTAAATCATTCTATTTCACTAAAGGAATGATTATCTAAAACAGCCAGAGGTGCATTGAATGTAATTTATTTGATGCTACTGACAACTGTAGTACATGCGAATCTTATTCAGTACAATGTATGTTTGATACCCTTTTATGGAAAAGCTACTTAGTTTACTCTGCATATATGAATAGTACTGTGTCTTTTTAAACATGGTATTGCAATAGTACTTCATATTTAATGCCCCACTCATCTGAGATAATTGTGTCTATCTGCTCTCACCCCTGCAGGAGGTGTGACGACGTTCGTGGCACTGTATGACTACGAGTCTCGCACGGCCTCCGATCTGTCTTTCAGGAAGGGTGAACGGCTACAGATATTGAACAACACGTGAGGCAACACCACACACACACACTGGGATGAGTTTTTCAAGTTTCACATTTTATTAGTCGTATATACGGGATCCGCATGTTATACATCGTCCAACGAAATACTTACTTGCAGGATCCTTCGAAACAATGCAACAACAAGAATAAATAATAAAATATAAGAATATGAACAAAGTAAATGGCTCAGCAGAATAGAATAAACATTTTAGCATAAGATGAAGATGGAGACATACACTCAGGGATAGACACAGACATACCCCCCGCACACACACACACACACACACACACACACACACACACACACACACACTGTACTCTGCATGTCTGGTCTCTTGCTGCACTGGCTGGCTTTTTTGCCCCCAAACCCTGTGTCAGTCACCCTCCCTCTGTAAAGTATGTAACCATAGAAACAGGCTCCCTTCACAAGGATCTGTTTTGTGTGAGCTGACAGGTTTTTGTTGTAGAATTCCTATTTTCTCCTGGTCATTCACAAACAGTACAGCTGTACATCTCACTGGTGCGTCCACATGGAAGCTGATATGTTTCTACCCCCTTCCTGTTGTGACTAGCCCTTTCCTGTTGTGACTAGCCCATCCTGTTGCGACTAGCCCATCCCGTTGTGACTAGCCCCTTCCTGTTGCGACAAGCCCCTTCCTGTTGCGACAAGCCCCTTCCTGTTGCGACAAGCCCCTTCCTGTTGCGACTAGCCCCTTCCTGTTGCGACTAGCCCCTTCCTGTTGCGACTAGCCCCTTCCTGTTGCGACTAGCCCCCTTCCTGCTGTCTCTACCTTAGTTGAATGCACAGATTGCAAGTCTTGCTAGATAATTGTCTGTTAAATAACTCTCATTTAAATGTACATGTTAAAATGATAGAAATGACTGTTCATTCATTCTAATGATGTCAGTCTGTGCTGCTTTTACACGTTTTAGGCTTTCTCTAATCAATAAAAGTGCAGTGGGCCATATTATTCTAGTGAGCCGAGCCCCCAATACTGCAGCTATAACAGTGTTGACCTAGAAGGCCTGAGCTGAGGACAATAGAACTATAGTGGATTATTGTGATTAGTGCATCTGCCCCCTGACGCTGCTACAGCTATTCCCTTAGGGTTACCAGGTCAAATACATAAACTCAGTGAACTCACCGAGATATGATAACCATAAGATAATGTTTCACTGTTTCCTATTTTATGAGCCAACCCATTCTTAGCTTTATTTCTGCACCATGCACTTGTTATTATATTATGAAGCTTTCTTGATACTAATATTAGGTCTGCACCAATTATATTATCTGTCCTCTGTTTTAGGTATGGCTGCTTAATGTCTCTTCTTTCTATAAAATCAATCAATAACCCTGTTTTCATGGACATACAGTATAAGCTTTAGACAAACTTCTGGTTTAATGGTTGTACTGTATGTCTTTGAAAAGTGAGCTAGGTTCCACTGTAGTGTTGGGATGAGGGGGTGGTGGATAACTGTTGTTGTAATGATTCTGTTCTGTATACTGTATCTCTAGCTACAAATCTGCTTTGCTAACACGCTTTCTGTCTCTTTTTTTTAACCCCATCCACCCCCTTCGCATCTCCTCTCTATCTCCATCTCCCCAAACTATTTCTCCATACCTTCATAATTGTATTTAGGAGAAAGTTGAACAGCAGGTCAGTGAAGCTTCTCTTGTCTTTGTGTCCTTCATGTGAATGAATACGCTGTGTGTATTTGTGTCCCAGTGTGTTCATGTCACTAACGCATCATAGTTACTGGTTCACATGATAACTTCCCTGCATTTGGTTAACGGTGTCATAGTACACGTTTGTGTTTGAATCCCCTGTGCATCCATACCATTAGTATTCCTAGTAGTTGTAGGGTTGATTTCCTGGACACAGATTAAGCCTAATCCTAGAGAATTTATTGGAGTTAACGTAGAATCTTCATTGATACATCTTCTTAGTCCAGGACCAGTTTTAATCTGTGTCCAGGAAACCGCCCTGTAGTCTACGGATATTGTAAATAATTTCCTCCCGTTGAGTCGACCCTGTATGAATGTGTGCTACTGTTTCACCATAGTCCTGTGCATGTGAAACTCCATGTGAAGAAGATCATCTGTGAGACTATTCGATATGTGTCTCCCAATATGAATGTACTGTGTGTAAAGTTTGTTTTCTTCACTCAGTCTGTGTTAAGAATCACTCCATATGAAGTAGAATCAAAATCAGCCCATGTAAACTAGAAGCACAGACTTGCAAAGGAGACCATCTGTGAAACATTTCCATTCTTGTCTCCACAGAGAAGGGGACTGGTGGCTGGCTCGCTCTCTGACCACGGGAGAAAGTGGTTACATCCCCAGCAATTATGTGGCTCCGTCCGACTCCATCCAGGCAGAAGAGTAAATCCCTCCCTCTCTTCTCTCCCTCTTATCTATTTATCCTTCCCACCTTTTCTTCTCTCTCGTATTTCATTTATTCAAGAATTGAAAATGAAACTGATGGAATTCAAAGAAATTCCAACTACAGTATCTCTCTATGCACCTTGAAGGCATACATACTCTACAAGCTGACATGCATAGACACGCGTGATAATAACACACACAAACTAACCTGTGTAATGATTCCATTTCTTACCTTTATCCTACCAGTCATCTCAGATTGCCTATGGCTTCCAGGTAAGGGGCAGTAATCAGAATGCAATACTTATTTGATTGGGGCATGCACAGAAGGCAGTTCTCTCGCTCGCTCGCTCTCTCTCTCACACACCCCCACACTTTTTCCCTCCTCTCAACCTGGTCACTGTGTCCCGTGCTCTCTCCCCTCTCTTCCCTAGGTGGTATTTTGGGAAGATCACGCGTCGCGACTCGGAGCGGCTCCTCTTGAGTTTGGACAACAGGAGAGGGACGTTCCTGGTTAGAGAGAGCGAGACCACCAAAGGTGAGTGTCTGAGGCTAGCATCTCCAGTGGAAACACATCACAGATTACACCAAAGCATCTCCACTGACAATTAAGACTACATTGGAATGCTGGCTGGCCCATGGGCATTGTCCTTTTCTGGGGATGAAGCTGTGTAGCTGTGTAACCATGATCTTTTAAAATAGCTGTTTCGTAAACCTTTTATGTAGAAAAAGCAAACCTCTGATTTGTAAAATAAGAATTGAGACATGGATTGTGTATGTGTTCCATTCAGAGGGTGAATGGGCAAGACAAAACATTTAAGTGCCTTTGAATGGGGTATAGAAGTACGCGCTAAGCGTACCGGTTTATGTCAAGAACTGCAACGCTGCTGGGTTTTCCCCACTCAACAGTTTCCCGTGTGTATCAAGAATGGTCCACCACCCAAAGGACATCCAGCCAACTTGACACAACTGTAGGAAGTATTGGCGTCAACATGGGCCAGCATCCCTGTGGAATGCTTTCAACACCTTGTAGAGTCCGTGACCCGACAAATTGAGGCTGTTCTGAGGGCAAAAGGGGGGTGCAACTCAATATTAGGAAGGTGTTCCTAATGTTTGGTATACTCAGTTTATCTACCTCAATTACCTCATACCCCTGCACATCGACTCGGTACGGGTTGTGTATATATTATCACTTGTATTATTACTACTTCTCTATTATTTATCTATTTTTCTTTCCCTCTGCATTGTTGGGATGGGCCCGTAAGTAAGCATTTCACTGTTAGTCTACGCCTGTTGTTTACGAAGGATATGCCAAATAAAATCTGATTTGGGATTTGATGTGACACCCCTGGGACGCAGCGGCGTTAGATGCCTCTGATCGTCAGCTGCTGCACTACAATACAGCACAGCCACGGTAATGTCACACACTCCCCATGGGCCGAGCTCAGCGGAGAAAGAGAGTGGGTAAAGGGGGGGGGACGCTGCCGGGAACTGAGTGGGAGCAGTGGGGAGGCTTCGGGTGAGGGAGTAAGACAGAAGTAGGTTATTGTGGAGCCATGGGCGCATTCAGCAGGGCACAGCGTAAGGGAACGAGCGTTCAGATAGAAATGTGTTATGTAAACATGCCTCTATATAACATATAGAATAAGGAATCATGTCGGCTCTATTCATGACATCTCTATCTGTAACGTTTGACAACCACAAGAGTATCACCCAGTTTAAACAGAGAGGGAAGGAAGGGGAATTGCCCAGGGGTTCTTTGAGGTCACTCATCAGGCTGGCTCACTGGGCTGGTGCTGCCCTCTGATGGCAGACTGGGTGTATTGTTTCGTATTTGTGGGACCACAAAGGAAAGGAACTTGTGAACACAAAAGGACACTAATAAAGCAATTTTTTTCAAACTACTTTTCCTTTGGACCCCAGGAAGACTAGAAGTTGCTAAAGGCATCAGCTAATGGAAATGTGAATAAAGGAGTAGGCAATATTTCCAGCCCAAGGTTATCTTGCTTTCTTTACTGATTTCCTCTCTTATGTACCTCTCCCCAGGTGCCTACTGTCTGTCAGTCCTGGACTATGACAACACTAAAGGGCTGAATGTGAAACATTACAAGATTAGAAAGATGGACAGTGGAGGGTTCTACATCACCTCACGCACTCAGTTTAACAACATACATGAGCTGGTCACACACTACCACAGTGAGTCACACACACACACATTGACAACACTGTGTACAAGTATAAACATCTCAACCAATTCCTTCTAAAAAAAATACCTCTGATAAGAGACTCTGTGTGAAGAACAAACAGCAGTAACACTACCAGAAGATGATATTAGAGCTTCCCTCCCTGTCCTCTCAGAGTATGCAGACGGACTGTGCCACTGTCTGACGGCGGTATGTCCCGTACTGAAGCCCCAGACCCAGGGCCTGGCCCGCGATGCCTGGGAGATCCCCAGGGACTCCCTGTGCCTCGACCTCAAACTGGGACAGGGATGCTTCGGAGAGGTCTGGATGGGTAAGACAGTCTCTCTCCACTTACTGTATACAGTGGGGAGAACAAGTATTTGATACACTGCCGATTTTGCAGGTTTTCCTACTTACAAAGCATATAGAGGTCTGTAATTTTTAACATAGGTACACTTCAACTGTGAGAGACGGAATCTAAAACAAAAATCCAGAAAATCACATTGTATGATTTTTAAGTAATTAATTTGCATTTTATTGCATGACATAAGTATTTGATCACCTACCAACCAGTAAGAATTTCGGCTCTCACAGACCTGTTAGTTTTTCTTTAAGAAGCCCTCCTGTTCTCCACTCATTACCTGTATTAACTGCACCTGTTTGAACTTGTTACCTGTATAAAAGACACCTGTCCACACACTCAATCAAACAGACTCCAACCTCTCCACAATGGCCAAGACCAGAGAGCTGTGTAAGGACATTAGGGATAAAATTGTAGACCTGCACAAGGCTGGGATGGGCTACAGGACAATAGGCAAGCAGCTTGGTGAGAAGGCAACAACTGTTGGCGCAATTATTAGAAAATGGAAGAAGTTCAAGATGACGGTCAATCACCCTCGGTCTGGGGCTCCATGCAAGATCTTACCTCGTGGGGCATCAATGATCATGAGGAAGGTGAGGGATCAGCCCAGAACTACACGGCAGGACCTGGTCAATGACCTGAAGAGAGCTGGGACCACAGTCTCAAAGAAAACCATTAGTAACACACTACGCCGTCATGGATTAAGATCCTGCAGCGTACGCAAGGTCCCCCTGCTCAAGCCAGCGCATGTCCAGGCCCATCTGAAGTTTCCCAATGACCATCTGGATGATCCAGAGGAGGAATGGGAGAAGGTCATGTGGTCTGATGAGACAAAATTAGAGCTTTTTGGTCTAAACTCCACTCGCCGTGTTTGGAGGAAGAAGAAGGACGAGTACAACCCCAAGAACACCATCCCAACCGTGAAGCATGGAGGTAGAAACATCATTCTTTGGGGATGCTTTTCTGCAAAGGGGACAGGACGACTGCACCGTATTGAGGGGAGGATGGATGGGGCCGTGTATCGCGAGATCTTGGCCAACAACCTCCTTCACTCAGTAAGAGCATTGAAGATGGGTCGTGGCTGGGTCTTCCAGCATGACAACGACCCGAAACACACAGCCAGGGCAACTAAGGAGTGGCTCCGTAAGAAGCATCTCAAGGTCCTGGAGTGGCCTAGCCAGTCTCCAGACCTGAACCCAATAGAAAATCTTTGGAGGGAGCTGAAAGTCCATATTGCCCAGCGACAGCCCCGAAACCTGAAGGATCTGGAGAAGGTCTGTATGGCCAAAATCCCTGCTGCAGTGTGTGCAAACCTGGTCAAGACCTACAGGAAACGTATGATCTCTGTAATTGCAAACAAAGGTTTCTGTACCAAATATTAAGTTCTGCTTTTCTGATGTATCAAATACTTATGTCATGCAATAAAATGCAAATTAATTACTTAAAAATCATACAATGTGATTTTCTGGATTTTTGTTTTAGATTCCGTCTCTCACAGTTGAAGTGTACCTATGTTAAAAATTACAGACCTCTATATGCTTTGTAAGTAGGAAAACCTGCAAAATCGGCAGTGTATCAAATACTTGTTCTCCCCACTGTATATGAATAGTGTATAAATAGTATTTTTGTTGTCTCTTGGTGTCTTTCCATATATTATATACATACATACATACATACATACATACATACATACATGCATGCATGCATGCATGCATGCATGCATGCATGCATACATACATACATACATACAGTGAGGGGAAAAAAGTATTTGATCCCCTGCTGATTTTGTACGTTTGCCCACTGACAAAGACATGATCAGTCTACAATTTTAATGGTAGGTTTATTTGAACAGTGAGAGACAGAATAACAAAAAAATCCTGAAGAACGCATATCAAAAATGTTATACATTGATTTGCATTTTAATGAGGGAAATAAGTATTTGACCCCTCTGCAAAACATGACTTAGTACTTGGTGGCAAATCCCTTGTTGGCAATCACAGAGGTCAGACGTTTCTTGTAGTTGGCCACCAGGTTTGCACACATCTCAGGAGGGATTTTGTCCCACTCCTCTTTGCAGATCTTCTCCAAGTCATTAAGGTTTTGAGGCTGACGTTTGGCAACTCTAACCTTCAACTCCCTCCACATCTTTTCTATGGGATTAAGGTATGGAGACTGGCTAGGCCACTCCAGGACCTTAATGTGCTTCTTCTTGAGCCACTCCTTTGTTGCCTTGGCCGTGTGTTTTGGGTCATTGACATGCTGGAATACCCATCCACGACCCATTTTCAATGCCCTGGCTGAGGGAAGGAGGTTCTCACCCAAGATTTGACGGTACATGGCCCCATCCATCGTCCCTTTGATGCGGTGAAGTTGTCCTGTCCCCTTAGCAGTAAAACACCCCCAAAGCATAATGTTTCCACCTCCATGTTTGACGGTGGGGACGGTGTTCTTGGGGTCATAGGCAGCATTCCTCCTCCTCCAAACACGGCGAGTTGAGTTGATGCCAAAGAGCTCAATTTTGGTCTCATCTGACCACAACACTTTCACCCAGTTCTCCTCTGAATAATTCAGATGTTCATTGGCAAACTTCAGACGGGCCTGTATATGTGCTTTCTTGAGCAGGGGGACCTTGCGGGCGCTACAGGATTTCAGTCCTTCACGGCATAGTGTGTTACCAATTGTTTTCTTGGTGACTATGGTCCCAGCTGCCTTGAGATCATTGACAAGATCCTCCCGTGTAGTTCTGGGCTGATTCCTCACCGTTCTCATGATCATTGCAACTCCACGAGGTGAGATCTTGCATGGAGCCCCAGGCCGAGGGAGATTGACAATTATTTTGTGTTTCTTCCATTTGCGAATAATCGCACCAACTGTTGTCACCTTCTCACCAAGCTGCTTGGCGATGGTCTTGTAGCCATTCGAGCCTTGTGTAGGTGTACAATCTTGTCCCTGACATCCTTGGAGAGCTCTTTGGTCTTCTACTGAATTAGGTGATCACCTGAACCAAATCTTATTTAACCAGGAAAAGTATAAAAACCACTGCTGTGGTCATCACTATCCTCTTGCAATAGGACCAGCTGGATGGCAAAAACAGTGCTAATAGTACCTCAAAAGTAATATTAATCAAAAAATAACTATTGACCATGCCAAAAGAGTTGAAAAATAAAGTTTTGTGTGAGGAAAAGAAGGGTTCAATTCTGGCTTTACTGGCAGAGGGATACAGTAAGCGTCAGGTTGCTTCCATCCTTAAAATTTCAAAGACGGCGGTTCATAAGAACAAGGTCAAGCAGCAGACATTGGGGACAACAAAGCTACAGACCGGCAGAGGGCGAAAACGACTCTCTATTGACCGGGATGACCGCCAACTCATTCGAATGTCACTCAACAACCGTAGGATGACATCAAGTGACCTACAAATAGCTGGGGTGAAGTGCACGGTGAGGACGGTTCGAAACAGGCTCCTAGGGGCAGGGCTGAAGTCGTGCAAAGCTTCATCAATGAGAAGCAAAGCAAAGAAAAGCCAGGCTGAGGTTTGCAAAATACCATAAGGATTGGACCGTAGAGGACTGGAGTAAGGTCATCTTCTCTGATGAGTCCAATTTTCAGCTTTGCCCAACACCTAATGGTTAGACGGAGACCTGGAGAGGCCTACAAGCCACAGTGTCTCGCACCCACTGTGAAATTTGGTGGAGGATCGGTGATGAGCAAGGCTGGAATCGGGCAGATTTGTCTTTGTGAAGGACGCATGAATCAAGCCACGTACAAGGTTGTCCTGGAAGAAAACGTGCTTCCTTTTGCTCTGACATTGTTCCCCAACTCTGAGGATTGGATTTTCCAGCAGGACAATGCACCAGTCCACACAGCCAGGTCAATCAAGGTGTGGATGGAGGACCACCAGATCAAGACCCTGTCATGGCCAGCCCAATCTCCAGACCTGAAACCCATTGAAAACTTCTGGAATGTGATCAAGAGGAAGATGGATGGTCACAAGCCATCAAACAAAGCCGAGCTGCTTGAATTTCTGCGCCAGGAGTGGTATAAAGTCACCCAACATCAATGTGAAAGACTGGTGGAGAGCATGCCAAGACGCATGAAAGCTGTGATTGAAAATCAGGGTTATTCCACCAAATATTGATTTCTGAACTCTTCCTAAGTTAAAACATTAGTATTGTGTTGTTTAAAAATGAACATGAACTTATTTTCTTTGCATTATTTGAGGTCTGACAACACTGCATATTTTTTGTTATTTTGACCAGTTGTCATTTTCTGCAAATAAATGCTCTAAATGACAATATTTTTATTTGGAATTTGGGAGAAATGTTGTCAGTAGTTTATAGAATAAAACAAAAATGTTAATTTCACCCAAACGCATACCTATAAATAGTAAAACCAGAGAAACTTATATTTTTGCAGTGGTCTCTTAATTTTTTTCCAGAACTGTGTGTATATACAAAATTGTCTATAACTGTTCTTTACTTTGTCATGTATTTGTACATTTTATGTGGACCCCAGGAAAAGTAGCTGCTGCATGTGCAGTAGCTAATGGGAATCCTAATAAACAAAACTAGCTCTGCTATCTTGTGATTTAATTAGCAACTTTAGGAATCAATTTCAGTGTGATCCTTCTGATCTTCAGCCAACTCCCTAAACCAGCTGATCCTCTCAGACAAAACAAGGAGTATTGCCATGTAGAGGAACTAAAGTGTCTATACAGTGCATTTGTCATTGCATCAACACATTCCTTGGCAGTTGGCACCTATTTGACAGTTTTGAAAACATAATCTGATGATAATAATTGTTACTACAACAACATAACTAGCTGTGTAACCTTTATGTAGGCACGTGGAACGGTACAACGCGGGTAGCGGTCAAGACCCTGAAGACCGGTACCATGTCCCCTGAGGCCTTCCTTATGGAGGCCCAGGTCATGAAGAAGCTGAGACATGAAAAGCTGGTCCAGCTCTATGCCGTGGTGTCTGAAGAACCTATCTATATTGTCACGGAGTACATGGGACAAGGAAGCTTGTTGGACTTCCTGAAGGGAGACATGGGCAAGATGCTGCGCCTTCCTCAGTTGGTTGACATGGCCTCGCAGGTAAGAGAGTTTAGAGATGGTCAGTGTAAATACTGTCTAGTCATATTATGTACCCGGACACACACACACACACACACACACACAGTCTTGTATAACTAACCTTGTGGGGACACACAATTCGGTCGCATTCAAAATCCTATTTTCCCTAAGTTTAAAACCTAACCCTAACCCTAAACCTAAACTTAATTCTAACCCTAACACTGATTCTAAACTTAACCATAAACCCCCTAGAAATAGCATTTGACCTTGTGGGGACTAACAAAATGTCCCCAGTTGGTAAAATGTTTGTTTGTTGACTATTTCATATATTTAAACACGTCCACACACACACACTGGCTGTTTCAGTCAAACCTAAACATGCGTCTTCTCTTCAGATTGCCTCAGGTATGGCGTATGTAGAGAGGATGAACTACGTCCACAGAGACCTCAGGGCTGCCAACATTCTAGTGGGAGACAACCTGGTGTGTAAAGTGGCTGACTTCGGCCTGGCCCGTCTCATAGAGGACAACGAGTACACTGCTAGGCAGGGTAAGACTACTAGAGGGCTCTGATTACCATCTCCCTTCCTTTTGTCTGTCTCCTCTCTGTTTTATGTCTCTCTCCTCTCAATGTTTGGGCTGCCAGACAAATTGGCCTGCACTGAAGTCACCTCTCTTCAGACATAATTGGCATCATTTTATTCTCAGGTTTTCTCACCACAACTTGAATTACAGAGTCTAGTCAAACGTGTGTCTCTCGTTGCAGGAGCAAAGTTCCCCATCAAGTGGACGGCTCCTGAAGCTGCACTGTATGGCCGCTTCACCATCAAATCAGACGTCTGGTCGTTTGGGGTCTTACTGACAGAACTGGCCACCAAGGGGAGAGTGCCATATCCAGGTAGCTACTGGGAATCTTCAAAAATGGGATGTAGCTCAGTTGATAGAGCATGGCGTTTGCAACGCCAGGGTTGTGGGTTCGTTTCCCACAGGGGGTATGAAAAGAAAAAAAAAAAAAAGAATAATAATAATGTATGCACTAACTAACTGTAAGTCGCTCTGGATAAGAGCGTCTGCTAAATGACGTAAATGTAAATGTTGTGTGATAGAATTGCTTACCACTCTGAGCACATCCCAAAGACGCACACTGCTGGCAAGCAAGAATACCTATGTGAAGACACTGTTGGCTGTTATCCTTTGAAACCATGAAGGTCAATGCACTATCTATCTCTCCTGTCATTCGGTCCCTGTATATTGATGTTTGTGTTCTCCCCGTCCCATTCCTTTCCTCTCTCTAACTCTCTCCCCCAGGCATGGTGAATCGGGAGGTGTTGGACCAGGTGGAGCGTGGTTACAGGATGCCTTGTCCTGCTGAGTGCCCTGAGTCCCTTCATGACCTCATGCTCACCTGCTGGAGGAAGGACGCCGAGGAGAGGCCCACCTTTGAGTACCTGCAGGGCTTCCTGGAAGACTACTTTACCTCCACTGAGCCCCAGTACCAGCCCGGGGAGAACCTTTAGTCGAGAACCTGAGGTACTATAGGGCTCATGTTTGAAGGGGAGAGGGGAACGGTGCTCTGGATACAACCAGACTGACCTCTGTTGCACCTGGAACTGAACTGCCAATGACCACACATCTACTCCTGACTATATTATCATTATTCATTGTGATGATGTCATTATTTTGATTGATATTGATATCCTTCTGATTTGCACTAATCTACTGGTTTATTTTGAGTTAATCTACATTCATACCTGTCAGTTACTGTACGCTCCTATTGACTGTGTGCGGTAGCTCCACCCCTCCTTCATTATCATTGGACATGAGCAGCAACTTGCTGTATGCACCACTTCAATGCATCTCTTTAGAGAGACACCTTTGGAGGGCTAAATAAATAACACATTTCTCATATCCCTATTGGTTCCTCTCTACAATGAGATTCCATGTTTAAGGATGGTTTCTTGTTGTGGTATGTCTTCCAATCTATTCCCACAGACTGCTTGAGAAGCAACTCTGAGGGGTACTTTTGTCAGGATATCACTTATGTTTTTGATTATATTTGTTATAAAACCTGGAATATTTGGCATTATTATCAGGCCACAGGTATTTCAGGTGTACATTTCCTCTACATTGTGGCTATTCTTGACAGCTTGAGGTGTTTGTAGTTGACCGAGGTGAGCGGAACCTTGACTACGCAGACACTTCCATGAAACCATAGAATTAGAATTGCTATGCATGGAACACACCTCCCCAGGCACTCTTAAAGAATATGAGAGGAGAATATTGTTTGTTCATTTCCATTTTATATTCACAACTTTTCTAGAAGAAGACAAAAAGGCTACTGATGATCACTCAGTCTCCTCTCAGGAAGGGGAACATGAATCCTGCTGCAATGTTTTTGTGCTAATGGTGTAAATTACTATTTTCTACTCTCTTCTATTGTTTAAAGTTTACTTTTTATTACTCTTTATGAACTTTTCTTAATACAAAGTTCAATAAGCGTTGCCCTGTAACTATATACACTTTGTGAATCATGCTCACACCTGTTTACTGCATCCAATAATACCATCCATAGTCCATCAAATATCTAAGGCATGTATTTTAAGGCTTTGGTTGTTCAAACATTCTGATTAAAACTCAGTCAATGTTCTGCAATGATTTTTAGTTATTTTCAGAAAAGGAGTAACCATTAGGCCTTTCACAATCTATTCTTTGAGAAGTGTTATCAGTGCAGCCGCTGGTTAAAGGTAGACTCAGCGAAATGACGTTGCCACGAGCAGCACCGCAGATATTGAGATGAGCGAGATGCAAGACTTCGCTCTCACACAGTCACACCCAGTATCTGCGCATGTACACGGGTTCGCTTCATGCTGTTACAGCGTGGTAGCCAGGCGACCAAAACAGCTGAGAAGTTGAGCCTTGCAAAATGAATCACTATGCTGTTTGTTTCTGCATCTATGTCATATCGCTGAGTCTACATTTAAGCACATTCTCACTTTGGAGGGACACTACATGACCAAAAGTATGTGGACACCTGCGCGTCGAACATCTCATTCCAAAATCATGGGCATCAATATGGAGTTGGTCCCCCCTTTGCTGCTATAACAGCACCCACTCTTCTGGGAAGGCTTTCCACTAGATGTTGGAACATTGCTGCGGGAACTTGCTTCCATTCAGCCACGAGCATTAGTGAGGTCGGCCACTGATATTGGGTGATTAGGCCTGGCTCGCGGTCTGCATTCCAATTCATCCCAAAGGTGTTCGATGGGGTTGAGGTCAGGGCCCTGTGCAGGCCAGTCAAGTTCTTCCACCCCGATCTCGACAAACCATTTCTGTATGGACCTCGCTTTGTGCATGGGGGCATTGTCATGCTGAAACAGGAAAGAGCCTTCCCCAAACTGTTGCTACAAAGTTGGAAGCACAGAATCGTCTAGAATGTCATTGTATGCTGTCATTCTAGACACGTTAAAAGTCACTTAGCTCTTCAGTAAGGACATTTTACTGCCAATGTTTGTCTATGGCGATTGCATTGCTGTGTGCTCGATTTTATACACCCGTCAGCAACAGGTGTGGCTGAAATAGCCGAATCCACTAATTTGAAGGGGGTGTCTACATATTTTTGTATATATAGTGTATTTTGTGGTTTTGTTTTAATTGAATGATGGAGAGATGATTCTGAAGATATGAGAGGAGCAGGTTAGCGTTTTTCATCATGAATCTTGTTCTGGAGCCAGCTCTGCAGAGTGGTCACTAGCTGGAACAGCCACAAAGTCATAAAATCAGATTTTTAAAACCTAATCTTTACCCTAACCACACTGCTAACCCTAATGCCTAACCTTCAATTACGACCAAAAAGCTAATTCGTGTTTTCATACATTTTTACAATATCGCCAATTTTGACTTTGCAGCTGGCTTATCTAAGGGGAAATTGTTCAGTTGTGCCTCCAGGAAAAGACTCATGACAATAAACGTCAGGCTGCATGAGAGGACAGAGCTTCCCAATGGCCTGGGATGCTGAATTGGCATTTTGAACATCCACTGTCATTGGGCAACTGTACATAAATATCTTCAATGCTAATATTTGTGTATATATCCTGTTTCTAATTTATTCATATTTTAAAGGTCCTTTTGGTTTGTCTATTTATTTTCAGCATCATTCTGCCTCTTGCCATGTCTAAGGTACATCCCATTATTATATTGGGAGCTCATCAGTGACGAGTGAAGAATTTTTACTTTGTTTCCATCTTTTTATGAAACCATACTTATTGGTACTACTCTGTAATCGGAGTAGAAAACATTAACCTGACTGAGGAACTGCCAGAGGAACATGGTTGAAAACAAGCTTTCATCAGTGCTGCGTTCAGTACGTTTTTACGTTCTGGAACGTTCAATTGAACGGAAACGGTGCTGAACGACCAGTTGAAAAACGGGGTGTGGTTGGGTTGGGGAAAGCTGTTATCATGGCCACTGACCTTTAAATACGTCACTCATTGCGTCAAGCCACACCTCACCACACCCACCCAAGGGCAGCAAACATACCTCAAAGTCTGTTAAAGAAGGTACAAGAACGTTTTCGGGAAATGTGTCGTTCAGTACAAACCGTTCCGTAAACATTTAAGCAAACTGAACGCACCTCAGGTTTCATCTTCCTAATTTCAGAATAAGACACCTTTTTATATAGCCTCTAAAGGTGCCACTAATTCTATTTCTGCTATGAAGAAAAACTGCATTAATCAATCATACATTTACATGTCGAAGTCTTTCCTACTCTTAAGACCATTGATGGGGAGGCTGGCTTTGCGAACTGAATGGCAGTGTTTTTATAGAAGACAGCTGATGTACAGTACTTTGGTACAGCATGGCTTATATGTTACTGTGGCAAGAAGACTTGCATCAGGAATCTGAACTGGGTATTATGGTACTGTAGGACTTGTTAAGAGTGCTAAGATTTCATAAACCACTAGAAATTCTACACTGTTTTCCTCGAAGTCTCAGACATTGGCATAGGTTATTAATCTGAGTTATGTTTTCTGTCCTGTGAACATATGGAGCAGCAGATTGACTAGTCTGCCGTCTTAATCCTAATCCCCATTGTATGATCATATTGCTAAAACAAGGACGTCTCCATTGGGTTCTTTGGGTATTTTTCTCTTCAGCCTATGCAGTTTTTGGATCTGTGATATTCCTTTGTATAATCTTTTTTACTGCATTCAGTGGAAAATGTAAGAATTTCAGGCAATATTTTTGCTGTTGTCTAAATACGACTGTATATTGTTTAAAATTCAAATGACAATGTTGGAATAAAATGTGTACATTGCAAACTGTAATCTGGCACGTTGTAAAATGCATTGAATTATGTTTCTTATATTGACTTCATCAAAATTGGTTGAGCAACCAGACAGTGAGTCGGTTGATGTCTATCAGTTTACAGTAAATGGTGTTCTACCTCACATAAACTCATGATCCATAACAGACTAGATGCCAAATTGAACTTTAGACCTTTCATTTCATTCTGAAGTGATGGCTTCCTTTCAGTGAGCTTATACGGGGTGGAGGTAAGGTGCAGACTACCTCAATGTCATTTTGTCCAAAAGCCTCCTGTAGTTCAAGGCACTGTGAGCTAAGGTTGGTCTAGATAATTGTGTATCTTTGAGATACTAACCTGATGTCATTTTTAGATATGTTTTATAGCTTGGTAAACAAATAATATGCCAAATACATATTGTATGTTATTATGAGGCAGTAGCCTAGGATACATGTTAGAGGCTACTGTAGGCCTGTTTGGGTTGTCATATCATTCAATTTAAGATGATGGAGAACAAAACAAAGACAATGCAGTGAACATTTTAATGTTCTATTACTTCAAGTGAAGTGATACCCTTGTTGCATAATTGTCAGAAGTTATACCTAAACCAGACTTATCTTCTTTAAATCTGATTTTAAACCTAACCTTAACCCTAACCACACTGCTAACCTTAAATTAAGACCAAAAAGCAAATTTTTTGTTTTCATTAATGTTTACAATCTAGTCAATTTTGACTGTGTGCTGAACGTGCGTGCAAGTGAGAATGAACAATTTATTTCTGGAATTCCCTTCAACTGTGATTAGACAGTAGGTAGCCAGCAGATCCGACACCTTATGCTTGCTTACAGCTGCACTACAGGGTTGGACAGGCCATTTGCTTAAATTATAACACCGTGAAGCTGGCGTGAGATATGGCTCAGAAAACGTGATGCGAAATTGCGTTGTACTCCGAATTGTCCCATTATCCCAACTGTTATGCAGAGAAGATTTGAATGACTGCTAAAACTAACAGTCATTCAATCTTCTCGGTGTAACAGTTGGGATAATGGGACAATTCAATTTTATTCTGAAAGTCCAGTAATATTCCAGATACTAGGCCTACTTTGTAATAGAAACCAGAAAGAATGTTCTGTAGGGCAGGATTGGCACAACCCCTTTTTCCTGTTATTTCATTGATCAACTTCCCATTATTGTATATCAAGCAACCTTGGTAGC